GTGTGTGTGTGTGTGTGTGTGTGTGTGTGTGTGTGTGTGTGTGTGTGTGTTATACAGCACTGTTTCTGAAAGAGTTTGGTCGTGAAAAATGTAAATAAAAACTGAATGCAGTGGTTTGCAAATCTCCAAACCCTTTTATTAACAATGGAACATGGTGAACATTTCCCATGTTTAAACTGAAAATTTGCACCATATTTAGAGGTGATTTTACAGCAGCGGCACATCTAAAAAAAATATGGCTGAAAAAGTATATGATTCAAGTAAGAAACAGCCRKAGGAGCATTTTGTAACGGATCAGGTTAACTGACAACAGGACCGGGTTTGAAAAGAGCAGTTTAGAAAAGCTGAATCTCTCMGAAGAAAAGATGGGCAGAGGTTCACCAGTCTGTAAATCTGATTTTATTTACGATTTTAAAAAATGCGCCAACTTTCAGAGGTTACAGGTTTATTGTGGACGGGATCCTCTCTTTCAGAAGCTGCAGCTGTGCAGTCATTGTGTTCACAGCAACAATTAGACAATAAAAGTACCACGTGAGGAATGTAAGAAGAGAAACTGGTTTATAAACGGAGCAGAACGCTCGTCAGCTCGTTTGGTTTTATAGTGTGTTACTATCCTTTTCAATTGCAAACATCAAGTATTGCGATACTGTTTCCATTTAAAAAAGGAAACAAAAATAAATGACAAATAAAAACTTGACTTCCGTTAAGAGTCTTTTTTTAGGTGCATCTGCCTGGAGCAGTGAAACAATTAAGCTGTTTGTCAACTGGAAAAATGCAGGTGTGCTCACTTTGTGTTTTCCTTAGTGATACAGACCGACTGAAACTCATGTGTTTTGTTGACATAATGCACAMTGTGTCAGCTGATGACAGCACACAGAGAAAAATGAGCTTAACTTTAGGTCACGCTCACTTCCCTCATGTATGTTTCAACTCTGGCCAAAACAGCCCAAATACACAAAAGAATGAAAGGAAGTATTTTTTTTTTTTTTTTACTGACCAAGTTTAAGTCCTGCTCTGTGGGCCGGGCTGTCGTCGTGCACCTTGCACACAAACGTGCACATCTCCACTGAGTTTTGGTCCTGATGATGGAGACCGTAAGTCTGAAACAGACAGAGAACAAAGAGTGAAGATAAAAGATCTTTCTTGCTCTTGACGTCTTATTTTGCACTAAACAACTGTTGTCTACTGTTCAGAGTCACACACACACACACACACACACACACACACACACACACAATCATGCAAAGGAAACCATGACGGTCTGTCGGTGCCAGAAGAAGTTTTTAATCACAAAGTCCACAAAGATGTGACGCAAGTAATCAAGTGCTGAGGTCCGTTTCCTCTCGTCTCACTGAACAAACTCACTGGAAGATGTTGCAACTTTCCTCATGTCCACAAACAATAAACTCTGATAATTACACAAAACTTAGAGAACCTGTAGGTATTGTTTTGTAATGTCACAGACTACACTTGGTTCTTTTGAGAACCAGCTGCTCAATGAATAGATGAATAATTTGATAAATGTACAACAAAAATAGAGAAAACTCCAGAGTCATTCTCTAATGTTTGGTACAGATCAGCTGAAATATGTGGATTTTAGAGCCAAAGGTAATTCAACGGCSTGACGCCTGAGTTCGCCACGACCACGCCGTCCAGCCAAAAGTCTTGGTGTTTGAAACCACGTCAGACCAACTTGTTCTCTGTGTACTGACACAAACCGAAGGTGATTGGGTCAAACGTGTGAGAGATGGGTCTTTCCAAGCTATAAAAAGGTCACTGTCCTCAGGGGGCGGGGCTTTGATGATGYCTTCATATGAGCACAGAGTTCCCTTCTGAAACGATTATGCCCTGTCTGTTTCGAGAGTGGGAATCRACAAATGCATAACGTTCGTTTTGACTGATGATGGTGCAAGCATTGCCAGCCAGTGTAAAAAAGCTGGTTTCAACAGCTCCAAACAAACACAAAATAAACTAATTTACGATGACGTGAGTAGAAAAAAGCAGCTATTCCTCACTTGGAACAAGTGAACACTGGGACTACACGTTTGAATTTAGCATCCAATTCACGCAGGGTCAAAATGATACTCGAATAAAAACACGCATGCTTTTAGTACTTTGAGTAAGTAGTGTCAACACAAAATCTTGAGTGGTTAGAGGAGTTGTCCTGTAACCGGTGGGTTGCTGGTTCAATCCCCTATTCCAGCTGTCTCAGCTGTTGTGTCCTTGGGCAAGACACTCACCCACCTTGCCTACAGAGGGTCCGGTGGCGCCGGTGCATGGCAGCCCCACCTCTGTTAGTGGGCAGCTGTGGCTACACTGTAGCTTACCACCTTCATTGTGAATGAATGAAGTGTCAAGCACTTTGGGGTCCATATGGACTTGATAAGGCGATTTATAAATTCAAACCATTTACCATTTAACTTGACCAACTATTAACTTCTAATTAGTGATGATTACGATTGACTGCAGCAGGTAGTTTCTCTTTGCTAGCACACAAAAGGTTTGATTCACCGCATCTACCGGACTGACCAACACTCATCTGTCACCCTTTAGATTAGTTAAAATGTTCAGAAACAAATGAGTGTTAGATGAGACCGACACGGAGCTGTTTGACCACAATGACGAGCAGCAGGTTTGGGGAAGTCGTGGTGAGGCTTGTGAGCACTGCCTCAACAGACAAGCACGGTGGTGATAGCATCATGCTGTGGTGACTCAAACCAATAACTGCTCAGTTCAGTTGAAACTGATGTTTTTAGGTGTTCCAACAGAACAGTGACCTCAAACACATCAGAACTGAAGAGTGATGGACGAACCAGCTGACTTTACCAAAGTCCTGACCTAAACCTTGTTGAAAATGTGTGGGCTGTGCTAAAAAGCTGGGTGTCTGTACCAAGAAAATGAAATGAACTCTACCACGTGGGAAGCTTGTTGATGGAAACAAAAAAAAGTGTGGTTGAAATGTAACTTGCTGAGGGACATTTATATGAATAACAGTGAGGGTGCATATAGAGTCTGTGTGTGTAGTTTGGACCTTGTGTGAATTATTATCATCCATAAATTCTTATTTCTGCACCAAATTCTCTTTTTACAACTATAGAAATTGTAGATGTATAACCATTGAAATAAATCATTAAAAGTCCAAATTATTATGAAACATCATTAGTGCTTGAATCAAACCATTTCTATACAAACTACACATCTACCTGTAAAGTTTTGGTAAATACACAGACAGCTTTCTTTCTGTATTTGTCGATTTTACCCAGACTTCAGCACAAACTGTCAGAAACCGCAGCTTTCTTTCCCACAAAAAACGGCCCTAATATTTTGTAGCCTTGGAAACTTGTGTTACTTCCACATGTACATCTGTGTGCTCTTCCTTGTTTTGGTCACCACAGAGTGGCTGCAAAAATGTGAATAAACTTCCCTCTTATTGAGGAAGTTCCATCCTGTCAGCAAAACTTCTACTGGCAACAACAACAACCAAAAAACCACTCAAATGAAAAACTTGTTTTGTAATTTGACAGATGTTGAACCTTCCCTGACGGAAGAATCCAGCTTGCATGATAGCGAGGATAGAAATTTGCAACGATTTTGATCCCGCCTGGATTCGACCGTGCAAAGATCGTTGAAAGGCAAATAAGACATTTACATGCCGGAGCCTCGTGTTCACCGGGCTGAAAGCTGGAAGGGGAAAAAGCTGCAAGAAAAAGGAGACGTCCACGCTCACGGTCGACCCTGCTGGCCGGCAGGCTGCTCCTCGCGGCCTCGCTTCCTCCTGCTCACAGGCAGGCAGGAAGGGTGGGAGCGTCCAAACAATGGCATAAATAGAACACCACGTCTTTTCCTAGAAGTGCTTCAGTTCTGATCTGCATACCGGCACAGTGTGTGACCTGTTTTATACTCACGCACTGTAAGTGTTTCAACAAACCTTCTGCAGGATTCTAAATAACAGAGTAATACTGTGAGGTGGAGCTGCAGGGGGAATCGGAGAGATGTGTTAATCTGAAGGGGGGGCAAGTATTCGATGGAAAGCGTGTGAGTAAACCGCACAGCTGAAAATACAAGTGCTGGAGGGAGAAAATATAAAATCATTCCCTCTTTGTTCGAGTCATGGGATTAACACGGATGGGTTATCTGACTGCTGGATGACCTTTCACTCCTGCTGGTGCAGGGAAACACTGGGATTAAGAGATGTGGGAAAAGATCCAGATGTTTCTGTCACTTAAAGGGATGATCTGCTGTCAGACATGAGGTCGAGCATTAAAAAAACCTGCTAAATCTGAAGTTCTATCAACATTTTATCTTATTTACCTGAATTTCAAAACCAAATGCTTCCTCCTCTTTTTTCTCCAGGACCACCACCTTCCTACAGAAAAAGAAATAAGAAAATGTAAATATTAGTTTATCTGATGCTTCTTTGAATTACTGCATGTTTTAAATAATATTACTGAGATAGATTGGTAAATGTGAGTCTACATCTAATTTGACGACTCATCTGATCAGCAACAAGTCWTTTTTTTTTTAGCAAAGAGCTCTAAGCTGCAGGTTAAAGTGACATATTGTGGCTTTCCTTAGTTTCAGTCAAAGAAGAGAAAGAAGTATTGAAAAAGAGAGAAAAACAACGAAAAAATGAAAACAGTTTCAATAACTATGAAATATCCTGCAGTTAACTGCAAACCATCAAGTGTCAAACGTCTCTGCATGTCCTAGTTTTGCATTTTGTACAGGTTGTGTAACCAAAGAGGAACACAGAAAGATGCAAGCTGAAAGATCTGCTAATAACATGTTTTTCACAGCTTATATAAACAACCAAAAAATTATTAGTCTGTTTTATAACATCATCATCATCGTTAAACAAGGTGAAAACAGAACTCAGTGTTCTGCAGACCTGTCGCTGTACCGCCATGACTCTCACCTACAAATACACTGGATTTTAGCTCAACAATTGGGTTTTTTTATTTAGTTTACTACTGCAGCCAAACTAAATTTTATTGGCTCTGAAACAAATTGGACTGTAGATGTACGTCCAATGATTGTTTTCTACAAGTTCCACTAAAATAACTCCAGTGGTTCATGAGATACTTTGCTAACAGACAAACTACAGACAGATGATGGTAAAATTTTGCAGCACATTTTTAGTGCTCTCAGGGTATGCTTCGATCAACCTCAGCTACTACCACACCCGATTTTAGGTCATTACCTGTAAGACTGACAGAGTTAAAGACATTTCTGTCTGTTTTAACATCAGTCAGCTGTGTAAGCTCTTGAATTGGGTTGGCTTCAAAGCTAATCAGTTGTTCTTATGTACTGATATTTCCAGAGTAGTTCAGGAGATATTTTGTTCTTTTTTTGTAGCACTTCGAGATTTTTGTAAATGAAAATTGCATTACAAATGAATTATTATTATTATTATGGCTAACAGACAGACACACAGGCAAAACCATCACTGTCTACATTCTCCTTTGGCAGTGGGCATCAAAGATCATGGTTGAGCTTTAAAGCAAACCTTTCACATCTTTTCAGTTTAATGATTAATGTGCAGAAGAGCTGTGGGAAAGGCTGACAGACTGTCCTTCAAAAAAAAAAAAAAAAAAAAAAAAAAAAAGGATTATATCCGCCTGCATCTAAAATCCTGTGGTCCACTCAGGATTTCTATCCAGCAGCACTTTGATCCAGCATAAATAAATAAAGTGACCTTGGATAGTAATTTTACAATTTACATATTTGTATATTTTGTTTTTGTTGGATTTATTGAGGCCATTTTTCAGGGTCTTTGACTTTATTATTTATTTAAATTGTACAATATTCTTATGTTAAAGTTAAAAAATGATGCAACCATTGGTTAATAAAAAATGGGACCAGTCTTTCTCAAACCTATTGTTGACTCTCATTTACGGTTTGACTTAATCAAGACTCTTAAGATTCCACACTACAAAAAAAAAAGTAATGAAAATATATGTTTTACAGATGTCATCCAGGAGGGACTCAGAGTAGAGCCGCTGCTCCTCCACGTCGAGAGGAGCCAGTTGAGGTGGCTCGGGCATCTGGTTAGGATGCCTCCTGAACGCCTCCCTGATGAGGTGTTCTGGGCACGTCCCACTGGGAAGAGGCCTAGAGGAAGACCCAGGACACACTGGAGGGACTATGTTTCTCAGCTGGCCTGGGAACGCCTTGGGATTCCCCCAGAGGAGCTGGTCCAAGTGGCTGGGGAGAGGGAAGTCTGGGTTTCTCTGCTTAGGCTGCTGYCCCYGCGACCCGACCCGGATAAGAAGAAGAAAACTGACGAAAACATATATGGTTGGTTCTGATATCAGTATCGGACAGTGCTCAAGGCAGTAACTTCAGTATCGTATCGGCAGAGAAAAAGTTGTATYGGGACACCCCTAACAATCAAGGCTTTAATTAAACCGATAATAAAATATCCAGAGGAAGCTTCAAGTAAAACGATTCATGAGTATTCTCATGTCATATGTGACATTCTGCTCTCTGCACAGCACTGTTTTTGTGTCCACCAGCGTTTGGAYGTCACAGTCAGACACACAGGACAAAGATCTGCGAGACTGAAGGACGTCCCTGCGGCAGAGGACATGAAAATTCATGACGACTCAGAAGCCCCACACGGTGACGACTTCTCCCAACAAAAGGGCCGCTGTGCGGGCGAGAGAGCCCCGCCGTCACACGAGGGGGAAACGTCGTCAGCGGTGGGTCTGCGCAGAAGAAGCAGAGAACAACAAAGGGTTTGGTCTGAACAGGAAACGTGGGATGCGTGTACCTCTGTGGTTCTGGTGACTGCGTTAGGGGTTTCCACTTCTGCGGGCCTCCACCCTGTGAGGAGAAAACGAAACAAGACGTCAAGCGATTCAGACAACAGCATGATGTTGGTGCAATATAAGGGTTTCCCCSCCAGCTTCTCATCAACTCTTAGACACACCTGCTGTCCTCAAAGACCGGTTCAACAGGTCTGGTAGTAGCATACGCGTGCCAGGCAGTTTGTTTTGATTTTACAGCCACTGATCTGTTATTTCTGTGACACGAAGACTGAAACTAGAAAGGCATGCCAGACTACTGTTTGTTTACTTCTAAGAGAGAAAAGAAAAAACACCTTCAGCTAAATTTAACTTTACAGAAACCCAGCCTGAAGCACCCAAATCCATCTGAACAAGTTTTAGAGCGGTTCACACAAACTGCAGTCTATTAAAAGAAACACACAAGACACTGTGGTGAAGGGGGGGGGCACAATAACAGCATTGAGAGGGGAAAAAACTCCACCAGGGGTAGACATAAGGATATTTTTCAGGTTGTCCAGCGGACAAACTGTTGACAAAACCTGGTTGTCCGCAAAACACTTTGGTTGTCTAAAAGAATCTCAAGAAAAATGTAATTTAACAAGTATATTGTTCTGTAGAAAAGTTTATTATATAATAAATGTTCTCAACCAGGTTGACAGGATCTGCGTGAATAAAATTTCCTCATTCTCTTCTTTGGAATGGAGTATTTAAGGCTCAGGGAGTAAAGCAGCTAAAACGTTTCTAATGAAATCTAGAGATTAACCAACATTCATAAACTCCTTTCAGCTCATAGGTCAAACATTTTCACTTAAATAGGAGTCTCCTGTGTACTAGGGTTGGGCAATATTGGCAAAAAAAATTAATCACGATTAATTGGGATATTTAGCCGATAACGATTAATT